TATAATGACGAATTATATATTACAAATTCTTTAAATCCTTTAAATAGTATATCCCATGGGACAAAATCGGTAAGCGTAATTGATTCACGTAAATCTGATAGATAGAAATGGTGATTTACACCAAAGTAAAAGATTGTTATATCTTTTTTCAGGTTACAAGCATCCGCCCTCGAAGCCCTGCAAGAGGCTACGGAGATGTACATCGTACAATTCTTCGAGGACGCAGTACTGCTGGCGTTACATGCAAAACGTGTGACTCTAATGCGAAACGACATGATTCTAATGCGTAGACTGCGAGGTCGTGACGATATTATCAACCGATGATCTCGTTTTTATGTCACCAGTATTTTTAACTTGTTCTTGTGAAGAGATTTAGTTCAAGACTTATGGACACACGTGACAAGACGTCTATCGTCGCATAATCAAAATAATATATAATAGAGTATTATTGAAATCAAATATAAGTTGAAATATTCAATATATTGTTGAGGCTCCTGGTTTCTCACTATGGAACTTTTAATTGATAGCGTTAGAAGCGAAAAAATACATATCCAAAATTCTTATGTACCATTTCCAAAAAAGAAATTTGTATAAAGGAACACTTCATGGCGCTTATGTATACTTGTAAAATACTTCGAAAAAATTGCCGCTTGAAAATTTTCCTTTGATCAATAAATAGCCATAAAATTAATATGATATGTGACTTTCCTCTTTGACTTGTCTTTTTCTATTTTCGATTTCGTTACGTTAATTTTGCAGTTATTTATTAACTGTCAAAATAAAAGTATAGTTTTCAAGACAATTTACAAGTATGTACAAGCCATCTGAAGTGTTATTTCATAGAAATATCTTTTTACTTGATAGTGACAAAAAAGAATTCTGGACATGCATTTCTTCGCTTCTGACATCAGTCGAGAGTTCCGTGAAAGAGAGATAGCAGCTTTATACCAGATATGAATTTAACGAGTTTAATCACGATTTTGTAAATGCGCGAAAGAGGAACCGACGTTGATTGTTGTATCCTTGTCAGCATAACATAAACATAGCAAAGATAATATTACATGTAGATGATATCCAAATATAAATTCGTTAATGTGGTACTGTTAATCTCTGCTTAAAAGAGTATAAGAAGTATTATAAAAATATAAAAAATAAAATTGCGAGACTCCGGGACACGCGATAAATTCCTCATTGTTCTTTGTGAGACAAGGAAAAATTCAATTCTGTTTAATTATAAGATATTGACAACGTAATAAATTTTTCGTTTCATGATGATACTGAGTTTTATACCATTGTCTGTGGCGTTTAATCGATATCGATTCGATGTTCTGATCTGGATAATGAAAAATGTGATGTATATTATTTTCATATATAAAATTATTCTGTATAGATCATACACACTTGATACTTCTAATAAAGAACGCAAAGCAAAATGAACAGAAAAAAGTAACGCGAACTATATTTCCACACGGCGTCTCCTTCCGCTTGAGATGTGACAGGAAGCAGTAGGAGAAAAACGGCTAAGTGGCTGTTTCGCTAAATAAAATTTATTTCGGGGAAACATTCAAACATGTCAATAAAATTCGTAACTTCATTTTACGAAACTTTGGTAAAATATACAAGTTTTGCGAGATAATCAGGGCTTCTTAAACTACGAATATCGAAACTACGAATATTCGCCGCTTTCGAACTCTCGCTGCCTTCGGCGAGAGTATTATCTCGTAGAGCGTATCGACGATGCGGATATGATAAAAACAATGTTAAATAATAAAATATCGCGAAAAAAAGACGGGGAGTAACAGTCGCGGTTATGCATTTAAGCCCATATTCTGAACTTTTTTTTATCTATAAAAGTGTCTCTAAAAGAGGTTTAGGAGCCGAGGCTGATTGGCTGAGAAACTACATTTAAGGCATTTTTATCGATAAAAAAGGATTCAGAATATGGGCCTTAGTGTTTGGTAATTCGAGCGCATTCGCCGAATTGGAATGGCTTTGCCTTGGACTGTCGAGACACGAATTTCTGCGATTGATTAGAGAAAACGGCGATTTTAATCTTGAAATTTCGGATGTGTTAATAGTCGTTGCTTGACGTTTGTCTCATGTGAAACTCTTAGATTTTTATTCAGAGTTAAATCTAATTTGTTTAATTAAATTATGTCACATTGTATATCTGTAATCGCGGTTCAACTGAAAAACTCATTCAACTCTGAACGCAAGTCTGAGTATTTGGGAGTTTCAAGTAATAGACTATTAATATGGATCTTGAAGCTCCTTGTACTTTGTCGCGACCATGTTGAATATGTACGTCAGAAACGAAGAATGACATACTGAAAATTGCGTGCCATTTCTGAATAAAGATAAATATTGAAGAAAGAGCATACTTGTAAAATTGTTCAAAAAGTATTTTTTCTTTTGATGAAACTGCTTGAATATATTTGTAAAATTGTCCAGAAAATATCTTTTTCTCTTGATAATAATCGTATAATAAGTGATGAAATGACGAGTCTGCATGCTTCATTTTCGTCATTCCTCGTTTCTAACGTCACAAATCCGACATGGCTGGCGAGATACAAAGAGTTTTAAAGTGTGAAAAGATATTTCAACCGGTTAGATCTCAACAGAGGAAAAAATTGTTCGATCTTCGATGAGAAATGTCGTTCTGTTCATTGAATGCGCGTACGTTCTACCGAACATCAGCACGCGGTGTAACTTATTCCCGGTGTTAGCTGCGATAAGAACAACCATGATTCGTGACAAGAGTCACACACCTTTAGATGCGATCTAAAGAGGAGAGAACTGCCTAGAAAAATAGTATTACAAATAACAATCTAGCCGCCTTAGCTAAACGTTCGATTTGTTTATATATATATATATATGTATATTCGTTTATGCATCATGCGTATATGCACAGTACAATTCAACGAGAAAATACAAAAAGGCACCTGGAAAAGCAGGCTAATCCACTTAAGAGACGAATCTCGAGGCTCCTACGAAGACACTTGTCACGTTTGAGGCGCAACATTTGTGACTATACTTTCATGCTGCCTGTCATTGTACACGAGTTGGACCACGAAGTCCACGCGGGAAATTTAAGATAAATTAAATATAATTATAAATACACATAAAGTTTGAATTTAATTATATTTAAACTTATTTAAATTACATAAGAGTTCAAATAAGTTTAAATATAATTGAATATAAGTTATTCGGACAATACCGCGAGATTCGGGGATCGTTATCGGCGATCCGAACGCTCCCGAACAACGGACTCCTTTGTGACACTTTTATACGCGTCTTTTATAGATAGTTGAAAAATGTTAAAGGCGCATAAAAACTGTCTACATTTTCTCTAACCTTTTTAAATACATCTGAGATTTTTCGGACGGATGCAGAGAGGCGTCTATAGAGCGATAGCAATTGTTCATAGTCGGTCTTTGAATTTTCTTCAAAAAGCTCTTTGGGTTTTGTCGTTGTTCGGGCTCGCGGACACTTCGACCAAAGTTTAGCTCCTTGCAAGATTAAATAACGAGTCTCTTCACTTTTACATCGTCCGCTCACTTCCTCATAAACGACCGCACCTTGTTTACACATTTGTCCATGAAGTTCCGTTTGCGCTTGGGCTCCGCGCCCGCCGGCAATGACAGCAGCGAGCCTGGGCCTTTCTTCGGACCCGTGGGCCTGCTGCCACCGTACTCGCTCGACGAGACGCTCCCGTCAGAGTCCAGACCCGCACCACAGCTCCTCGCTTTCAGCATCGTCGATCTGTCGTTGTGGTCGTCGTCGTCGTCATCGTCATTGTCATCGTCGTTTCTGTCGTTAACTCTTATCAGTTTCTCCTGTGTTGTTGCTTGTTCCTCTACATGCCGCTCTTGCTCGTCGCACTGTTTGCCAGACGTCGTCGACGACGGTCCTTCCAAACTGAAAGAACGTCGATTCGGCTTCGGAGGACGCGTCGGCGGGATCTCTTCTTTCTCGCTTTTGTCCTTATCGTTCGAAGACATTGGCGTATCCTCTGTCTCGGGTTTGCATTCGGCAAGCTTCGGCTTTGCCCTGGGAACCGGCACGGGATTTTCCTCAGATGTAGAAGTCTCGACGGTGGTTTCCTGACTTCGTGCAAGATAACTGTGGCTCTTCTGCTTGTCCTGCTCACAGGATTCTAAGCGATCGCAGGACCCACCGCCACCGCCGCTGCTGCTCTTCGTGTCCTCGTCCAACAGACCATCCAAACTGCGCGATCTTGGTCTGGGAAGCGGCGGTCGCGTTTGCACGATCGCCGTGGAAGCCACGGACTTTCGCTCTTCCTCTTCATCTTGGTCCAGCAACTCCAGCGAGCGAGAACGTGCAGAAGGTGGAGGTGGCTGTTGTCGTGGCGGTCTGCGAGGCACTGCTGGACTGCCGCTGCCGTCACCAGGATGCGTGTGTATGAACTTGAAGCGAGGGGACGCTGGCGGCAGGCCCATCAACCAACGGAACGGACTCGACGATTTTCTAAGCCTGCAACGTGAACACTACATTTGTAGCAATGACGTCCCGAATCGTACTTCTTATACCCGAATAGCCCCGAAATTTGTTTGATACAATTAGATCATGCAATCGAACTACCAAGAGATTGGTCAAGAGACGCCTTACAGATGCTAAATGTACAAAGCTGTGAGAATTAGAATAATTTTCACACCTCTGTATATTATGGCCAAGTGAACGTTCAATACCAACTCACACAGTTTACCTAAACCCTCCACCTCGAATTACACGTCTAAAACAGGTATGTAATACATACATGCACGTATAATGAAGCATACTTGAATACATTAACGATATCAGGGACGGACCTAATGCAAGGATTTGGCAAAGCGATGGGATGGTGACGAGAATTGACACCATTTATAAACATCAATGAAGAATTTGTATCATTGACTAACCTAGTCGCGATTGTCTTAGCACGATTCGCGATCTTGGCTGCGTGAAAACAAAAAAATTAGTTGCGTTAGTAGAGCTCTTCAGAAGTTAATGCTTTGAGATCGGCATGAGTCGACTCGATAAGACTTCGCGAAGACAAAGTACAACTTGTTTCTTTGTTAAACATTTTGTTTGCTATTCTCAATCGAATTTCTCTCTTTGGACTTTGACAAATCGATTCGCTCGCAGATCTCTTTGATAATACATGTCACGCTAAATGATCCGGAATAATTACCTGCTCGGTATGGCTGTGGGCGGGCCCTCTAGTCAGTCTCGCCCGCCCGTAGAATCCTTGTCGCTGTTCCTGCTCTCGTTGCTGAGCATTCGCTGATAGCTAGGCGGCTGTCGTATATTCGTGCTTCCCGGTGTGCTCGGCGTAGTCACATCCTTGGGCGCCATGCTGCGCGGGATTCCGCCAGATAAGTCAGGTCTCATGGGTAACTCTCCTCGCATAAATCTTGAGAAGTAAAAGCCATGTGATCATCTCGTACACGAGAAATGCCAGTCTAAACTTTAAGATATTAAACTCTAATACGACTTTGAAAGAAGATTGCAGAGAAAAATTTTTAATTTTGTGTGAGACTGTGCTTCAAGTGAGTTTGTGAGAATTTCAAGTGATATTCTGCTTACCTTTCCAATTTGTCTACGCAGGCATCTTGATAGTCGTGAATCCAGCGGACACCGTTGAAGTGGCAGACCGCTCGCATGTCCTCGGGAAGCTCTTCGGGCTCCGGCCATTGGAAGCATTGGTCGATGATCGGGATTATATTACAGTCCGATTGTAACGCGGCAACGATTTCCTGCAAAGACACGACAATAGTGAATCGAAGCGTCGTGTTACGTCACGCAATCCGGTAAATTGGTATACATAAAGCTACAGCACGTTAACATGATACAACAGTTTGCGAAAACTCACTCTGTGAACCCAGTCCTTGCACTCGCTGTCTTGTATACACCTTTCCAGAGCTTGAGGCGTGAGCACCAGCAGGAAGTGCTTTGCTTGCTTGATGCTCTGCAGCAAGTTGTTATCAAACTTGCCGGCTTCGAGTCGCTCCACGTCGATGAACACGGAGAAACCGCGCAACTGCAGGTGCACCTTCAGCAGACTCGCGAGCTGCGAGCCGTTAGACCTGCGATAGCTGACGAACACGTCGAGGCACTTGTCGGGAGACTCGTATTCGCACGAGCTGAACTGATTGTGTTGCATGTTCTTGATAGCGTTCAGTATCCTGAGCCGGTGTATGCTGTTTGTAATGCCGCACTCGGCCAGCAGCTGATCTTCCGAAAGATTGCGTATCGATTCCTTGTCCACGCCGGCGTTTAGCATGCCGTACGTGTAAATAGAAAACTCCTGACCGATGGACTGTAGAAAACTGTTGAGGTTGCCGGTGTCGCGGCTGCTGTAGTCAGCCATTTTCTTCAGGTTCTGCAGCTCACGGGCGAATCGCCGGCGCATAATGCCGTTTGTCAGGCCGATATCTTCGCGCAGGTTCTCTTCGGTCAGCTGCAATAGCAGATCGCCGTCCACGCGGCTCTCCACAAAGTTGGTCGCGCACTCGGCGAAGCCGATTTGCTTTACCCATTCTCTGACGTCCTCGGTGGACCACAGAGGCACTTGTTGGCTGAGCTTGTGAGGGATCTCTTCACCGATCAACCTCAGAGCTTGCGCCGCATACTTGGAGGCGATGGCATTGGGACAACTGGCGACTTTCTTCAAGGGTTCGATCGCACCGATCGCTCTGAAGATCTCGGTGTTACCTTGTCTCTGCTTAATACCAGCTTCCATGCAGAAGTGGAAAGCTGCCAGGTTTCTCGCTTCTTCTCGCTTCGAACTCAGTACTGGCACCAATCGTTCCAGCCAATTCTTGCTCTGACCATGAGCGTGAGCGAGATTCGACTTAGCGAACTCGTAAGGATTATGCGACGTGACGAAAGGCTCGACGAGATCGAGGGTGCCGGATTTGAGCACAGCCGCCTCGATCTCTTTGTTGGCGACCAGCACGGCGATCGCCAGGCAGGCGTAGTACTTGATATTGTCATCGTTGTGAAAGGCGAGCGGGAACAGCCACATGGGCACTTTCCGCTTGATCATCGCCTCTTGGTTTTCGGCGCCGCCATACAGCGACAGATTCGCCAGGGCGCCCGCGCAATGTCGCAACGTCTCCACGTCGTTCTTGCGGCACTCGAATAGCACCGCGTCGAGGCCGCCCAGTCGGATCACGTCGCTGCATGTGCCCTCGCTGTGCTTGAATAGATGCTCGAGGATGCCAGTGCCGACGCGTGAGTGATCCACCGAATTCGCGTTTTTTGTGCACACGCACGCCACGTTCACTACCTTCTCCAAGCCGTTCTCCACCACATGGGCGCGATTCTCCGTGGTCAGACACTGCTCCAGCAATCTCGCTGACGAGAACTGCAGCTCGTGGTCATTCACTACGCAGTTGGACATGAGAAGGTCGAGGCCGCCGCGGGTCCTCAGAGTGTTGCACAGGGTGTAGCCGAGCTCGTGGCCATGCGTTGGCACTGCCCAGGCCTTCCTGATGATCTCGTTCACTCTGTTCAGCAGGAGCGGCGCCTTGCCACTCTTGCCGTCGTTCGCCTTCAGCCTCTCCACGAAGCTGTCGAGAAAGCCGCAGTACTTGGCGATCGCGCGTTCGACGTCCTGCGGATTCGACTTGGAGCAGAGCAGGTCGAGGTCGTCCAATGGTAACAACAGCAGCTCATCCTCGGCCGGCCGAATGCCGTTCATCAGCTGATTCACTGCGCTCGCGGCGCTGATCATCGATGACTTCGAGGTGACGCCTTTGGACGCGATTGTGATGCTCGATTGTGAGCTGGCAGCTATGTGTTTCTCGTGGTTGAAGATGCCGGTTGACGTGACCGTCTGCCGTTGTTGCTGCGCCGCCATCGCTTTCTGTGATGTACGAATTCTCGATTATCATGCTGGTATCTTGAGGAGGATCGTGGAGAATGTTTCTGAGAGATTTTTGGGAAGACTTTCAAGGATACTCTCGAATCTGAGGACCGATTGGATTGATTTCAATGTTGATGAAAATTTAGATCTCTCGGACTGTAGGTGTTTTTGGATGTCTGTCTGTGATATCGACTGAGGTGAGAGTCAATAAATGAATAATGATTTGTGTGTGAGTTGTAACAATGGCTGCGCTCAGCAGAGAAAGCTACTTCGCAACAGTTGTAACAATCGTGAATCTGATTGGTGTGCGCTCTTAATCTTGGCTGAATCTAAATGGCTCGATCTATGTAATGTGTTCTTTGCTTCCCCGTTTCTTTCTCCTTATCACTTTCTGAGACCTTAAGCCTTGAGCCAGAAAAAGATAGAAAATAAGAAACAGGAAGCACATTGTAGATCAAGCTTAAGAGCACACACCAATCAGATCCACGAGCTTTATAACGAGTTGCAGAGCAGCTTTCTCGGCAGCAATAGGCCGGAAGATCGTCAGTCGCGCGATTTCACGCTAGGACATCCGCTCCTTCGCGTTTACCATTCGCGAGTCGAGACTGCACTTCCGCAGCATCATCCTGAACGGTTGGCGATCCACTGTCCTTTCGGATGCGTATCCACGTATCGACTGGAGTTCGACGTTGAGCTCGCCGGCGTTTAAATCGCCAGGAACCGTCCGTGCGCGCGGATGTAGAAACGCATTAAAGCCGCCGACGCGACCGCGCGTGCCAAAACGCGGCAGACCGCGTTTTCGAACGTCGTTAAGGACGACGATTTACGATTCCGGCTACCGATGCTGCTGTTGGTTTACGCGCGTTCTTTGGTGGTTCGCCAGAAGTGCCGGTCGAGAATATCGCGCCTCGGCCTTTCCCGCGAAGCGGAAATAATAATAATACGCGATCTCCAATCGCCACCGAGGAAAATCTCGCAAGGCGAGGAAATGACGTATCCTCGCGAGAAAATAATTGTGAAAAGCTGTTTTTCTTTCGAATTCGTCCGCGTGGTAATCAAGGAATACATGTGAGAAGAACTTTTCATGAAATATTCTTCTCCGTGAAAGTTACGGAAGATCGATCAGGCTTACCTTCTCCGAGCTGAAGGAGTCACTCTGGAGCTTCATAGTAGACGCTGCCACGTTGTTGCTCTCCTGATGCGACAGGTCGCCGGCCTTCAGGCTTCTCTGTTCCTGCGGCAGAAAAGTAAGTCCTTGTAATCAGCGCGGACCACTAATGCGATCTGCTCAAACACACATTGCATGCGCGAGAGATCGACGAGAGTTTCCGTTTCGAGTTTCTCGGCCCTCGTTTCGCGAAGAGATATTTCTCGAGTGGTCTCGAAATCGACCACGAGGAGGCATTCCGCGTCTCCATGACACTAGGAACATAACGCCGTACAGTCGCGCATTGCAGGGAATTAGCGTGTTATCGAAGGTCCACTTATGCCGCACTCGCGAACGACGCTAATTTGCAGTAGCAGATATGAGATAGCATCGCGCGAGAGAGCACAACAGTCGCACTGTACTCGAGAAGAGTTCTTCTTTTTTTTTTTTTCGGTGGCTCGGGGCCAGCCACAACACGCACTACACGAGCAATAATCGAGTGCACGTTGGTTTCTTTGCTTCCGATCATTCGCCCGACACTTATTATCGCGATCCAAAAGCATGATGATGAGTGTTATCTTGGGAGCTGCTCGCGAATTTCTTGCAGGCCGACTTTTCAGCGTTTGCAGTCAGCTCTGCAAAGCCGAGTGTGTTATTTTTGGACGCATAAGCGTGCAATTTGCGCGTTCCATGCGGTTCTATCATGCTATTAAACGCGTTTAAGATGTGTGAATTGTAATTAAATATGTTTTTAAACCTAGATGACGCGACTTAAAACGGCAAGAAACGTGTGAAAGGAGATTCAACCCAAATAACACTCTTGAATTCACGGTATATTTCTCTAAAATAATCAGGCATTATCAAAAATCGCGCCACGATATCGACCAGTTCACGTGCTTATCGCTGCTTATCGTTGCTTTTTTCGTGAGAGGATCACAGAGGTATCGAAGAGGTATGAGAGAGCACTCTCCCCCGCGAGATTTCACGAGACAATGATCCGCTTTGTGAAAAGCTCGCCTCGAATGCCGATCGCCCTGCCTCCCCCTTTTCTCTTTCTGACGGCCGACGTATTCCTCTAAATATAATTCGAGCGAATCGTCACACGGCCGCATTAAGTTCGTTTTCTCCGCGCGGCAGAAGAGAAGTTTGGTTGAAGTAATCAATTTTCTGGTGAAATACAAACAAACTTTCCGATTGAAGTTATTATTAATAGAATTCAAACGAATTCTCCGATTGAAGTTACTAGAATTCTGTCTGAGTTAACAAGATTTATGGTTTACTCGAACAGAGTTCTAGCAACTGCAGCTGGGATTTTTTGATTCTCTTTCTTTCTCTCTCGTTCGGATTTCGTCAGAAATTTTGTGAAGCGAACATTTCTTTCCGCGCATGCCACCGTGTTTCGTGATTCACAATGTTGGCGGCGATAATGCGTGAATACATATCGAAGGGGGACAGAGAGTCGCAGTCTCGATCCCGCCAGAGAGTATTGCCTGAGTGTTGCAGTCGATGCACTCCGCGGCAAAGTGCATTCGTCGAGCCGCGAGTGATTAATCGCAGCCGTTCTCGCGCGTCTTGTCCCCCGCCGGTGAGTCGGCGATTTTACTCCCCGAGATCATCGCGTTCTTTATGTTTTCTTCTCGTGGAAGCGGAGATATTCGCGTGAATTTCCTCCGCCGGTTCTACGCGAATGACTTCTCATTTACGAATGACAAATATCCGATTGCACGCGATAGAAAGATTGAGGATGAAACTGAGATTGAGGGATTGAGGAATTGAGAAACTGAGAGACTGGAAGAGGAACTAGGAGATTGAAAGACTGAGAGATTAAAGCTTGATCTACAATGTGTTTTTTGCTTCTTACTTCTTTCTCTTTATCTTTTTTGACTTAAACCTTAAAGCCTGATCTACAATGTGTTTCTTGCTTCCTGTTTATTTTCTGTCTTTTTTTAGTTTAAGGTTTAAGGCTCGAATCAGAAAGAGATAAGGAAAAAGTAACAGAAAGCAAATAATATATTTTATAAATCAAGCTTAAAAAAAAACAGAAAATAAGAATCAGAACGCAAAAAGCACTTTGTAGGCTTAAGGGACTGGGAGAGATAGGGAAAGGCTGAGGGGGAGACAGAGAAAAAAAGAGAGACCAGCCACGTCTTATTCTCGGACTCCGACTTGGTCGTTGACGATATCTCGCGAAGATCCTTCGACAGTGTGGTAAAGAGATTTTAAATGTACGAATCTACGATGCGCTGGACACCTTGACGGACAGTTTGTGTCAACGAGAAGCGTTCCATGCGCTCCCGTCCTGAAATATTCGAATCGGATGTTCCTAATCGGTTCACTGCGATTAGAGATTCATATGAAAAACAGACCTCAGATCGTTAAAAGGACTAATAAATCGTTCAGACGAGAGTCGAAGTGTCTTCGGACTTACCACTCGCGAGCGATCGAACTGTTTTCGATGCAATACTCCGCGACGGATCGGCCACGGCGCGCTCATATTCGTCGGGAAATCCGCATCACTCTTTCACAACGTGAAAAGCTCGAGAGGTAGATGACTACACTACTCGCAAATTGCTCGCACAATTCATTCGTTACAGGTAGTCCACGCGATTGCAGATAATCTCGCGCGAGGCGAATGCTTTCGCTGAGAAAGAGAGAGCGAGACAAACCAACTGCTCTCGACAGAATTATTCAATCGCCTTTCTGTCTCCGTCGACCACGTTACTTTTGTGATCACACACATCGAGGTGTAAATTATTTTTCATTTGGATTAAGCTCAGATCAGATCAGAGCTCGAGATTCACGAGTCAGTCCTCGAGGTGACTGAAGAGTGGCGGAACGTGGCCCGCGATAGAGTCGTCGATGACGAGTTATAGATCACTGCGGTCGCGAGCGTGATGGCAGCGCGGCGCGAACTAATCTTGGCTGCGTTTAAAAGCACGATTCACTCTACCCCGACGGTTTAATTTCGTTACGCCCACTGTACACGCCGCACCGAGGCAGAGGGAGAAAGAGAGAGAGAGAGAGAGAGAGAGAGAGAGGGCAGAGGAGAAGAAAGAGAAGTGCATTTTGTGTCACGTAATCGGTGTAACGGCTTTTTCACAGCGGCCCACTGCTAGTTGCACTAGTAGCTATTTTTCGACGCCTAGAAATAGTTCGCGAGTGACTCGTTCGATCCATTTCGTACTCGTTGACGGCATCAAATATATCGAGAAACTCTCATCTGTTGTTCACAACTCCGTAATTCGCAATTACAATTGACGTTTCCGCGCGCGCGCGGCGAGAGAGCTTACCCAAAAATCTTTCTTATATTTAGAATTTGAAGAAATATATCGCCTGTTTCATTCTTTGCTTTCGTTCGCGTCAAACTTATACTTCAAATTTATATATATACTTCGAGGAAAATTGATCAAAATTAAAAATTTGAAGTACACTTCTCCCGATATTTCAGTCAGAAAAATATCTATTCTACACAGAGAGAATATCATAATTTTTTTTTTTCATATAAATTCTTTTCAATTTCGCTCTATTTTTTTAGTAATGCAAAAATAGCAAAATTTATCTTGCTAAGGAACATGATAAATTTCACTGGAAACAGTATATTTCCGTTCCTAAGATATAAATAGCACTTATGAAATGAAAGGATTTAATCAAAAATTAAAAAAAAATTTTTTTTAATTATAGATTATTCTACATTACACCTAAAAGTGATCGCAAATAATTTGACACTGATTCAGAGTTTGGATCTCAAGTCATCTTACTTTGAAGGGTAAGTTCAGCAAACGATGACGTCAAGAGGCATTTTCTGTAGCAATTTTTACTACAACATTCTCCCAGTGCAAATTAATCGAAGACTGAAAGAAATAATAAGGACTTTTTAAGCTCCCTGTATACGTGAAACAATCCCGTTGTTGTAAAGTATCAGCGCTATTTCCGTGCGTTCGATATCGACGTGCATCCCCGGCGACTGGAATCGAAACGCAGCCATTCACATCGCATTGGCGTAATTTCGCGTCTTTTCCAAAGCGTATGGCAGGTATCGTGTTCTTATCAAGTTCTTATCATAGCTTGTATCGGTCGCGTTTATTTTTCAAGAAAACCCGCGGCCTTCGCGTATCTGCCGCGCGACACGTGTCCTTGAAGAGCATTGCGGTCGGTCGCGGCTGGCAATTTACTCAGCTAACCGCGAGTGCTCTATTTCGGTTCCAGCCAGATATCAGCGACACTAGTGTTCCTTGTTGTCGCCGTCGTCTTCTGGCACAGCTCGCCCTCTCGCCGAAATCTGAACGATGATCTCACGTCTCGTCGCGGTGCGTCTCATCGCGTCGCGTCACATAGGGACGCTGAATGAGCGGTCGACAACGCGCAAACGAGACAATAACAACAACTGGCTGTGGTCGACGAAACACACGCGCTGGTCATTCTATCATCAAGAGCCCCGTCGCTCCTCGAGGTGTGGTTAAGAATGTCGGAAATTATCTGATGCCTAAGAGCAGTGGAACCGGAGAATCCACGATTTAAAAGACAGTCTCCACGAAAGAAGACGGTCAGCACTGTATAGCACGAACGTCCAAGAGGCGAGTTCTTCGTGTTTCTCGACTTGTCAGTGAACGGGAATAACGCGAGGTCGCACGTCTTGTGCTTTTACGTCCGTTTGATGATGATTCCCGAGACACAAAATCCTACCATCTGTGAGATGCCGAAGACTTTGGGGTGGTGATCGCGGGACCTCAGACTCGGCAGAAGGCTCCGCGCCAGTCTTGACAATTGATGTCCCATGAAACGTCAACACGCGACGCGAACCGACAATGAGCAACGTCGCGCACGAACTGATCGTTCTGGCAGAGGGTGGCGCAGCTTATCGACCCGGGGGTTATACGCGGTTGAGTCGCCCTTGCCTTGGCCATCCCCGTGACTACCCCCCTGCCGTTCGTTGTGAAGACGCGAGTAATTTTCGCGGAAAAGAGAACAGCAACACGCAACTTGGATGATGTAGAACTGATTTTTCCAATCTCTTGCTAAGCTAACTAATAATTAAATCATGTCTGTCTTTGTCTTGTCCTTAAATTAAACAAAGGTCGACGTATGATTTAACTGCCAGTTCACTCACACAAAGAGATCGGAAAAGTCGGTCTGTGATTACACCTCTTCGTGTTTGTCGGGGAGAAAAGTAAAGTTTTATTTTTTCTACGTGTGATAACGGTAAGCCAATCTTGAACGGCATCTTTTTTAAGTTAGAAAAGGAAAACAACGACGGATTGTAATTACCGCTGTTGTTCAGTTCGTGATATTCAGAAGGATCGATACAGAAGTCGTTATATAAGTAGCCTCATTGTGTATGCATCGTATATGCATTGTCTTTATTGATCTTGCTGAACATCACGTAGCAAACAACGGAGCCGATTTCGGAGCCAACTGTTTCAAGCAAGAATTGCGCGAATCCGTGCATGTACCAAAAAAACATTTCGATGTGCTTCGAAACAAACGTCAAGATAACCAGATGATTTCCACTCGTTTTCAAACTAGTCAAATCCGACAATGTCGCAACCTCTTTGCAGCGACGCGATCATTCAAGGCGATTTTACTCGTCGACTTCGCGGCATTCGCACTCCTCGCCGAGGACTACGTCGTTCCGCCTAAATCTGCTGACATCTGTCGAGCAAGCTGCGAAACGCGCAGATAAATACATTGGAATACACTTATCAGAAGCGCATGCATACACGGTTATACGCGCGTATCGCGAGATTCGATAAATCGCGAAAAGTTACGCTCCATAATTCGAACGAAGCCACTCGCTCGCATAAAAACACTCGTTCGCATAGTAAATATTTTGGGATCCAATTGGAACTCAGCCCAATTTCCTACAATAATCATAGGTTCGGCATGGAAAATCTATGCAAGTTCTGAAGAACTTCTGCAAGTTTAGAAGTGTAATGTTTTAAACATACGAATTTAAGTAGAAAGCCTAGACAGATCCATTTGGTCATTTCCAACGTTTTCCCAAAGATTCTTTCTGGCTTACATTTCAGACTAAAATTGAACAAAATATATGAAACACTTTGAGTATTTACTCTTTACAAGTATATGTACACACATATACTTGTAAAGAGTAAATATTCAGTGTTCGCAAAGAAAACATTATGAAGAAATTGTAATAAGCGTTCGAGCTAAGAAAGTCAGAAATATGTATAAATATCAGACAAATTCTTTCGATTTACAAATGTATGAAATCACCAAATTATTCTCAGATATACAAATGTATTCTATATATCATATAAAACGAAAATGTATTATTTTACGTTTTTCATAGAACAATGTAAGCTAGAAAGAATATTTGTATTGTCTTTATTGCGTTAATAAAACTGATGCAAAAAACATAAAAAAGCTCAAGTTTCCTTAATACTTTTCTTCCAATTCTAGACAGAAAACTCATATTTAAGACAAGAATGGGATTTCCAATTGGTATCGTAGTGGAATAATCTTTTTTACGACAAAGCTTTGGGCATTCTGATTGGAATCTAAGCTGCACTTGGGAGAACGCTAAGAAATATCTATGCGACGTCTTCTATTAATGTGCCGGGATTTCCGGCCGAAGTAATTTCGCGACGAGAAATTGCATCGCGACAGAAGGAGAGTCGGGCTCGCATTTGACACACACGAGCAGCAAGGTCGACACGTGGGGTCAAGGATAGCACGGCTCGTGTGCTCGTCAAAATAATGACCAACACACCCACGAACGAAACGGCACGCAATCGTCCACGCTTCGAGCCACACGCACGCACGTCATAGGCGAGCGAGCAGCTTCTACTCTCGGGGAACACGAAGATTTAGCATCCTTGCGAGCTGGCTGGGCTGGCTCATCGTCGCCGTGGCCCACGCGAGTCACGCGAACGCGCCATCAACGCGCGTCCGCGTTTGGAAGATTGCTTCTTGCGGATCGGATCGAACGACGGCTGAGAGCGTTTTTCTAATCAGAAGAGGTAACATAAGAAAGGCGTTTGCGCAAAATAATAAGACGACTGAAATGACGTGCTTTGAGAAGGACTTGAGAGACGTGTTTCGCAAGCCTTACGAAGTCGCGCTTAAAGTATGTTAATAGTCGTTACTTGAAACTTGCTTTAGATGGGTTCAGATTTGCGAATTTTGGTTTACATTAATATAGCTGACACCTGGAACTTGTTTCGTGAGATATTCAGATTTTCATTAAGTAATAATTATTTAAGTAAGTAATAACTATTGATACGGACCTTAGAGTTAAATATGAGTTTTTTTTTAACTTAATTCAGCGATATTCAGTCTCTTATAATTGATCAGATTGTGTTCATCACGTAGAATGAACGAGATAGAAATACGAAAATGATCAAAATTTGCCCTAAATGATATGTTAAATGTAATATAAAAATCTAAATGTAACTTTTAGTAAATATGTTGTAAATATGTGCTAAACTACAACAGAAATTCACACGATTCAATGATGTAAATTTAATAATCTACTCAATATAACATATTTATTTAATAAATATAATTAAAAGAATTGTATAGTTTCCATCATGGATTGTATCGCGTCGTGATGATCATAAAAGTTTATCTGAATAACGTCGTATGTTTTAAATAAAAAAATCCAAATCAAACTTTACACTCAGATCTGAATAACTCACGTGGGACAAGTTTCAAATAACGGCTATTAATAAGAGCGAATGTCACAAATGAAATTTGTTTTTTATTTTCACTCGAAGCGACAGTGAAAACAATAGCGGTGAAACCACTCTAAGTCACGAGAGAGAGAGAGAGAGAGAGCGAATGCTCACTCAAGCTTCCGTGGATTACTTAATCGATTACGGTAAATACAATGAAAACAAGAGAGAGGAACAAACACGAGACGCGTTTTCGCGTGGCGCGCGCTTTCGCGCGGCGACCATAATTTCAACCTTGACTATCAGCCAAGGCGATAATTTCGCAAAAGAGAGACGAGCTATCGTGCGGACGTATGCACTCATGTACGCGCGATCGCGAGACGGAAAGTTCGAGGGTAATCTCGTAATCGAGACGCCGCACGCTGATATGAGGAGAAGTCATTGGCTCTCATTCAAAAATGCTATCCGCACGCGCTGACTCAAGAGCCACGTAGCCGACCTGGCTGACTGAGTTCGCGTTCGCTCTAAATTTAGACGACACGTCCGGCGTAAATAGTCGCGGATACGAAAGCTCTGGCCATGATGATTAGGCCACGCGACGTCTCGGCGCGAGCCGACTCACTTTCTGCGCGTTTAATCTACTGATGATCGCGAATCAGTCCCTTCTCTCTGCCTCTCCCTCTCGTAGTCACCTACTGGTCCTACTGACCATTCTCGATCACCTCCTCGATCGCGCTTCCCTTCAGACAACATCGTGGAGGAGACTCTCCTCAGCTTCGTTCCAGATTTCATCGACCCTCTCGCCGACCTTTTCGCCGGAACCGGTCGCGCTCGGCGGGTTATTCGCGACGCGGCCAGTGCAGCTGATCCCCGGCGCGCAGCGAGGAAACACCGTGTCGAGGAAAACGCGAGGCGCGTGTCAACGACCCGCGATAGCGCGCTTTATTCGCACGGTTTCCGTCGCGAGCCTCGTGCCAAACTATCCCGCGCGCGAATCGCTGCGCGAGCCGCACCCAGAGAAAGAGAGAGAGAGAGAGAGAGAGAGAGAGAGAGAGAGAGAGAGAGGACGAGCCACAGCTCTCCTGTTCGATCCTTGTGTCGCCCAAACGAGAAAGGTCAGGCTCGCCTCGGAGCGTCGTTTCAGGGAGCCTTGGAGGATTCTCCTTTGTCCACCCACGCTCGCGTCGACTTTTTAATTCGAAACGCGCGTATTGCCCGCACAGGAACGCGCGAGTCCTTAATTGCTACCATCAAACGATTTGTCATTGTTTTGTTGTTCTTCTACTTCGCTTTGCAGAAGTGCTCCCAGCACGTGTCGCTTTTGCTTGTTACTCATTTACCGTTTCGTGTACAAGTGCAGTTGCTGGAAGTTCTATATCGGACACCGTACGCGCTGCTCGTTACTGCTGTCCCACAGCATTCGCTGCCGATTATTCGGTCGGGCGCCGTCTCATTTACGCGACTTTACTCATTTCATTTCACTTACCCTCGCGGAAGCGACGCTCTTCTCCGCGGACACGCCGTCGAGCTCGACGCGCGCCCTCGCTGCTGTCGCGGCGCTCTGCTCTTTGTACGAGACGTCGCCGGCTTGGAGGGCCCTCATCTCGGCGCTGTTCGCCGTTGCCTTCTCGGCGCTAAATCCGTCCGTGACCACCTAATAAAAACAGATCGACGATTAGGTGTGCGAAACAAGGGAGGATCGAGGAACGCGACGACACTGTCGTTTGTCGTGAGGGGACGAACGCGTCTCTAAATTCCCTTCTAGAATTCTCAGAAGGGAATTCCTTCGCAAAGTGATCAAACACTCCACACGACCCGAAAAATGATTTTTTCAAACGTCGCCGACGTTTTCCTGCGCGTTGTCCCGGAGGCACAACTCGCAGGCCTTGACCTAGACTATCTGGAGGAAGCCGCACCTCGGGGCAAACATTGCGCAGCTCTGCTTCGCGCGTCTAGCATTGTCAACGGACGCAGCGAACGCGATTCGATCGACGAGCTCCGGCCGTACTGCTCACGCATGATACTTATCGCGAGGCACGTTTTGTTGTTATAATTATTAATAAACAAGAAGAGAGATCTGTTAATAAATCGACGTTGGTGACTGATAAGATTGATGTTTCTAAACGAGAGGAAGTTAAGTAACTATTTATACAGAGACAATAAATCTTTTGTGCAAGAGATTGTTAGATGCGCGTTATAATGTCAGAAATATTATCAAGTGAGAAAAGATGGCAAATAAGAGACAGACGCGATTGTTGGTATACGAATACTTTGAACTTTTATGAAAGGATAATAATGTATGACAGTGTCAACGCATGTGCCGCATATTGTCCGAATTTACAATATGTGTCAACCCTCCACATCATTAATATTTATATTTTATAATATTATAATAATAATTTAATATTATTTTCAATATTAAATTAATATCTAAATACTTCATCAAACTATTTGACAAACTATTTGATTTATGATTCTCTTGCAATATTAATATTCATTTAACTGTTTACATATAGTGAGAAATGTTACCTTCGTCTTAGAAGCGCTGGTCATTTTCTTTTGCTCGAACTTCATGGTTTCTTGGCCGGCAGGTAAGTTCGCCATATTCGATATGTTCGACATGCTGATCGGTGGGCTCATGCCGTGAAGATTGTTCAGAGAATTCAGCGTGCTCAGTTGCGACGGGGAGCCGCCTGTCAGCGTGACAGCATCACTGACAGGCGGCGGTGTGTCCGGATCGGGAAACGTCACCAGCGGTTCCGTCAGGTCGGCTTCCTCTGGCCCGCTGCCGTCTCTGGAAAGTTCAAGAAGACGATTGGTTCCACGGAAGCAATCGCGTCGGAAACATTTCTCCTCGCGCTTCGTAGTACACGAGACGACGCGAGGCAAGACGCGCTGAAGCGTGATCCGGCACCTCGAGGTCTCGCGGAAAATCACAATTGACGCGTACGCGAAAATACTCACGGTCGACCATTCGTCGTCTGAGTTCTCTCTAAACACTCCAAAAGTAACAGTGAACTAACCGCTAGCGCGCGAGAGAAGCTTACAAAAGCGCACGTCACGTATTCTCAAAACACCTGCGTACCTCCGTCTCGGTCAGACTCACTTACGAAACACTGTATCGCGCCACTGCAAACACTCCTTCGTGTAACACACCAAACTCCTTCCCGACGACCCAGCAAACCACTCGCGCCTACTGCTCGAGGATCTGAGATCTCTACTTTGAAACCTACCTGTCTACGAGGTTCTCCATGCTGCTGCGCAATCGCTGTGAGAAGTTGGTGGAGATGTTCTTCATCTCCGAGATGCCGCGCTTGAGTTCCGTCAGGTCGCTCTTCATGGAGCTCGCTTTCATCTCACTCGACGAGGACGAGGTGAGGATCCTCTGCGAGGACTTGGCCACTCTGCTCGAGCTGCTGCTGCTGGTGCTGGTGCTGCTGCTGCTCTGGCTCTGGTTCGTCGTCAGCATCTGCCGAGTCAAGAGCCGTTTTCGTTCTATTTAAGATCCACGTGAGATGACTCACTCTCGTTCTCGTCCCCCTGTTCTGTTTCTATCTTACTCCACATCGTTCTAGCTCACCGTTCAACGCTCGTTTCAACGAAATTGTATTTATATAGACACGTCTAGTGTACCATAGGTATATGAGTATACAAACATGAGTGCGTTTCACACGAGCTCGCTCGTTTCGCGACAAGAAGAACCTTTTCCTATCGAGGTCACTTCGCTACAATTCAACGACACGTCTCGAGCGCACAACACCCTGAGAAAGGAAGAGAGCCCTCTGAGAAGACTTAAAGGGAAGAAGGTAAACATCATTCGTACGAGTAATACCGCGCAGCAATGACAGTTGGCAGCCGACCAAGAGTCATCTCGACGAGAGTCGGGACACGAGATGACGCCAAGTCTGCGTGTACCGAAAGGGCCCGAGTAAATTTAGAAAGAGGCAATGTTCTCTCGAAAGAAAGGCAAGAAGAGGAGGTGGCACAAGAGACCTTGAAACACGGTACCAAGGTTCACGTCGATTGCGCGAAGCCAGCCTGCAGCGAGAAAAAACACGTGGGCGGCCAACGAGTTGCGCAAAATACCACGATCGAGCAATCGTCGTCGTCGTCGTCGTCGTCGTCGTCGTCGTTGTTGTCGACGTTGATTGCTCGATGATTGGAGATGGACCGATGAGTGGGTAGCCACTTCAACGTTGGACGTGCGGCACGTGTCGTGTACCGGCCATCGGACTCGAATCGAAGAGCCTGCCATTTGCAGAACGCACTTAACGCATTACAGATACTCGTCTATCTTTCGAGTTCGATTCGAGCTCGAGACCTGAGAACGAAGCCAAAGTAAATTTACACGGAAGAAAGATTCTGTTGGATTAACTAAATGTCTAGTGAAATATAAACGAGCCAGAAATTACCAAGATTCTGTTCAAGTTGACAAGATCTCTGGCGAAGCAGAAATTTTTGAGTTGATTAGCCAGAATCTTGTGTTAACTTGAATAGAATTCTGGCAACTTCAATTCTGGTTAATTTTACCAGATACTTGACTAGATATTTGGTTGATCCAACAAAATTTTTATAACAAGGTGTGCTAAAATACCAGATTGAGAACCTGTTTTCGGGACAAGAATGGAATTCTCAATTGGTATCGTAATGAAATAATCTATTTTAGAGAGATTTTAAAGTTGAACATTCTGACTGATATCTAACAAGTAAACCTATCCAAAAGTTATACTCACATTTCTTTCTAATTTGGCACAAATGTAGAGATACAAAAAATACTTAGGTCATATTTTTTCATTTTGGCCTACTTTAAGTTTCACGGGCAGTTTAAGCCTAGCTTTTTAATGTCCTCACTCCTATCATCAACAAGTGCAACAAATGCATAAGAAATAAAATTGAATACAAAATATAGGCGTTTTTGGTTTGCTGATTATGAAGTCAAACATGTAAAATTATTTGTGTAAATAATAAAATGTTTAAACAAAATATGTAAAAAGTTGAAAAAAATTATTTATACAAATAATTTCTTGGTTTAGCCGAGATTCGAACCATTTTTTATTAATTTACCACAGATTTGAAATATTTCGGTTGAAATCTCGGCTAAAGAAATTTAGAATGCTTCGTGTCTCAGCTATGCCGATTTTGTTAAAATTATTTAACTAAATCTTGTATTCAATTTGATTTCTTATTTTCGCATTTTTGTTGTACTTGTTGATGATAGGAGAACATTAAAAAGCTATAAAGTGTCCGTGAAAACTCAAAGTAGGCCAAAATGAAAAAATATGATCTAAATATTTTTTATATTTCTACATTTGTGCCAAATTAGAAAGAAATCGGAGTGTACCTTTACTTAGGTTTACCTGTAAGCTGCATTTGGAAAAATATTAAGAAATTTCTATACGACATGAAAGAGAGAAATAAGATGTGTGATTGTTTTGCGCTTGAAAGTGCGTGCGATGACGGCAATTTATTTTCGGTTAATTCTAGCAAGATGATCATCGATACAATCACGGCGAGTGAATAATTCGAAATTTCCGTGTCGCGAGCGCTTTCAGGAAATTCGTCTCCAACGTGGGCGTCGGAGGCGTCGCGACACCTAAAGTCGCGCTTCTAGCAACTTAGCCGTTGACGTAGAAGCCGGCGTGGATTAAAGACAGAGTTAATCCATGAAGATCAGAAGGAACTCTGGCGAGAAAGGATCGTGTGTCTTCTCCGAAACGGCGAGGCCGTAGAAACATTGCAGCTTACCTCTGAATCGACGACGGTGCTGAGTGAAACTTATTCGCGCGAGTTTCATTCGTTTTCCCGCTAATTCCGGAGATCTTGCGCGGGGCGACGCGAGTCTGTTGGCTCGTAAAAGGCCATTTTTGCTTCAGAATCCAACGGAATACCGTTAAAAGCGCTGTTACGGTACGTGCTAATTAGCGGAAGATACATGGAACAAGTGTAAGGCTCGTGCACGGAAATACGCGTGATGTAGATATGTTTTCTTCTCTTTTTCGTGGAATTCCGACGTTTTCGCAGCGTCTGCGCAAACATTTGACAATTGGCGAGAGAAAGAGACGGAGGAAGGAGGAGGGGGAGAAAGAGAGAGAGAAGAGGAGAAGATAATCACCTGTGACGACGTGGTGACCTGCGGATGATGGGTGACGTGTGTCCTGCCGGTCACCAGGTTGTTCTTCTTCTGGAAGTTTTCCATGACGGTGTGCATGTCCCCGTTCTCGCCTCCCTCTACTGGGAACTCCGACATCTGCAACGAGATCAGTGGTGCCGTTAATAAGATCGCGAAGTCGAGACAGAGAAAGAGGGAGACATACTTCATGGGAAAAAAAAATCGCACGCATAGAAAGTACTTTGGAATCTAATTGGCATCCAGCCTGATTTCCCATAATAATCATTGGTTCTAGATGGGCAATCTATGTAGATTCTGATTAAAAGTATAATGTTTTAAACATGCGAACTAAGTGGAAAACCCAGACAGATCCCGCTTAGTCACCCTCAACGATTTCTCGAAGATTGCATTTTCAACTAAAACTGAGCAAAATATATGAAACTTTAAATATTTACTCGTTACAAGTATATACATACACACATACTTATAAAGAATAAATACCTGAGGTGTTTCAAATATTTCGCCCGAGGAATTCACATCCTGAGAAAAAAATTTACTAAATTTCAAAAAAACATTTGTTTGGATAGTACTGTGAAGATATTTGTTTAAATTAAGTAATTATTTTCTAAAATTAACGAAACAAATTTATATTTAAAACTTCTTTATTTAATTTTAGGAAATAATTACTTAATTTAAACAAATATCTTCACAGTACTATCCACACATTTTTTGAAATTTAGTAAATTTTTTCTCAGTGCAAACAAATATTTAAAGCCAAATAATATATTTCCACTTAAGAGAGAGAGAGAGAGAGAAAGAGAATAAAAATTTTAAATAAAAAAAAATATATATAAAAATATATGTATTTTTTATCTTGAAATATCTTAAACAACTTTTAAACACTTAAAAATTAATTAATATCCTAGTGGAATAATCTATTTCATTGGGTTATAAAATTGGGTATTCTGATTGCAATCTAACGTGCATTTGGGAAGATACTAAGAATATGCGGATTGCTCTCCGCGATGACTGCGCGCTAATTAAGCCGGCGCATCGTCGTCGAATTGTCGCGTAGATTCGTCAAGTGCAAGGGTTTAATAATAGGCCTTGGGAAAGTGATTGGCAGCGTGTCTTTGGCAAGAGTCACAATGAAGAGATATCTCATAGTGGCGCTCATAGTTACGATACGAACGATTCAACTGCGAACACGCGCGCGCTGCACCCGTAAACGAGCGGAATATGCAAAGCGCGCCCACGCGCCTGTTCGTTAATAAAAGAAAAGAAAAAAGTTCGCCACGCGCGAAACCAACCCGGATCTGGAAGCCGCGAAACGACCCGTTTACTCTAACGATTAAGCTTTCCAGTCGCGACTCCAATGCCGATTCCTCGTCTACGCGGAATACTAAGCTCGATGGCGGAAACGCTTGAGGCCATCCGCGAGTTCGATGCGAATGCCGGGTGTTTCCTTTACGTTGCGCACACCTCAAGGACGCGATCTTTGAGAAATTGTATTGTATACAAGAGAGAAAAAGTATCTAAGAAATAAAAGATATCTCTTTTTATTCGAGGTGGCTATTAATATAACATATCCACTTATATTAATATGAAATAGATAAGAAAACATGCATTTTCTCGAGACCTCAGCTTTTTATGAAAGCAATTGTTTATTCTATTCAAATGAAGGAATTTGGATTAAAGAAAATATGCTGCTGATAATCTCACCTAATGAATATATTTGATTGTTTAGATATCTTTTTCTCTCGGTGTGTGTACGAATGAAGATGAGAGGAAGGAGATCCGAGAGGCAACCAGCAATTCACTCCGCGCGATTTTATCCGGACTGAATGCTTCAGAACGCACCGAGCGAGTCGGAATTTAATTTAAGCACGGTTCTCGCGCGCGGCGAGAGAATGCGAGCGAGACGCGCGGGATGTCAAGTCCATCAAAATGTTGCGCCGGCGTGTTGCGTCAGCTGTTGCGTCGTCGGGTGTCAAATCGACGCTATGCCGCGCGGAACGCAACTGCATATAATCGGGACAAGTGCAACTATCGCGGGACGCGTGGATGGGCGATACGCGCGCGCGTTGCATTCCATCGTCGCGCTCTTTCGATAATTCCGCGGGATTTGCATAGGCGTGGGCGCGACTAACTCGGGCGCGCGCACCACGCGACGCGCAATATCCGGCATCGATCGTTCCCGCGCAGATAATCCTGCGTGTCGTTCGACTGATTTTCTCGCGGCCGTAGCCGCGAGAAAAACACGATTGCGCGTCTAGCACCGCGCGGTACGAACTGTGAAGGCGGCCTCTCATCCCTTTCCCTCTGCAACGGTCGTTACGAAGAAGGTATCTCCTTGGTGTAACGCAGAGATAATGAACGGCAATGAAATCGATACGAATCTCGCACCTTACTCACGCGCATGATCCTTAAATCGTAGTTGTGGACGACAAGTAACGCAACCGTTCCGATCACGACTTACACAACACCGAGAAGAATGTCAACAATGAATGATCGGGAACTAACAAAGATTACGTCCCCCGAGAACAAATAACACACTTTCAAATCGGGGATCTTCATCCTCTCGACTAAAGAGGAAAACAAACTAAAGGCACGATAATATCGCAGAAAAATATTAATTTACCTTGAAGGTACTTAAATATACCGTTTTCTTCTTAATAAACGAACAAAAATGAATATAAAGTCGATAAATCGTAATGGATCGAAAACACGCCCGTGAAGAGATCAATGCAGAGCGAGATCAAATTATGTGAGGTTAGACTGAGTAAGGTTAGGTTAGGGTTAAGATTCGTGCAATGATAAACCGGAAACAGAGACTGTCGCATTTGCGATTGGCAGCCGCGCGTATCTTCGTCGACGACCGTCTCGACAACGTTCCCTGAACAAAGCCAGGCGGCGTGTGTGTAGTCTCGAGCGAGAAACGGGGACAGTCCCTGTATCGTTACTCTCCGCCACGATAGTGCGGCACGCGGCCGTGCCTGTCATTCTAGGACCTACGCACCGAGTGCTCGTGCGAGGACCTGGAGCCAGCCTGGACTGACCAGTGTCCCTTGGTCTGCTCTACAGACCTTAGAGGGCCCGCAGGAGCATCGGAGAAGCTCCAAGTTCTCCAATGCTGCCGTGAGATTAGACGTTAGCCCAGGTGGGGCAAGGTGAGAGAAGATTAAAATGCGCACCCAGTTGACACTCGGTCGACCGCCACGTAGTCCACCTCGCGGCGACGACGGATCGAACAGGAGATTCCGGGGGCGGGAGGACGCGGAACGTACGCAGGTTACAAAACTGACGGCGGCGACGGCGACGACGGCGAGTCGCGACGGAGCCGAGGTCGCGCAAACGGATAGTACACGTCGACTCGTGCGCGCCGGCTGTCTGGTAAACAGAGCGGCGGATCGAAAACCCAGACGTCAGACATCCTGCGCGCCGGTCGCGGCCGCACTGAGCGCGCGAGCCGTGCGTGCCCGAGACGCGCACAGCTGGTCACGTGCCCGAGTCACGTGACGCGGGCGTGCGCGCGCACGTCACCGCCGCCGCGCGACTTATGAACGGCGCGCACGTGGCGATTTAAAGGGACGGCGTGATTTAAAGGGACGCACGAGATATTTGGGGGCTGAAAGGACACGTAGCAGACTGTCGAGCCTTATTTTCACGCTCCGTGACGGGAACTGAGGTTCGAGTTGAGTTGAATATCGAGGGAAATTGCCTTCAAGACTTGGCGGGAAGTAGAAATTAACTCGTGAAATCGCAGAACTGACTTAAACATGCAGTGTATAATGTTAATTCTATAGTTGTGTTGTAATTGAAAGTAATTTCTGGTTGTGTTAGTTAAGTTTCTTGTTGAGTGTAAACGTAACCAACATTTGAAGATTGATCTAATGCACACGGGACGAAAGATAAAGTTTCTCGCATTGAAATAAGATGGAACAGAGTACAGCGATATATCGAGAGGATTAAAGGAACGTTCCAATTAACCGCGCGCTTCCGAGAAGCCTGCATTCTGCAAAAACGGATTTTTCGATCTGGATGAAGAGGAATCGCACGCATAACCCCGATCCGGCAAGTGGGACAACGATAAATGCTCAATTCCCCGAACGACGGTGGGGAAGAGACGCTTTTTACCAGCGCTGTCGCTACGATATTATGTAAGAGATTCGTGCTCGCTCTTTCGCCTTCTCTCGCTCGCTGGCTGAAAGTGTATCCATCGTGGTATTTTGCCACGGGGGACACTTGCGAAAGAAAGTTTACGGGGAACTCGCCATTCTTCATTCATCCTACCAGGCCGCACTTTTCATTGATCGCGAACGCGAGACTTCAGACATCGCGATAGACCTTTTCGTTTCGCTGTCGGCGGACGTAAATGTAATTGAGAAAGGAGTAATTGGATAGTAAAGAGAGTTTCTCCAAATAAAAGCAATTCTCCGGAAACGAATTGAGAAGGGAGCTGATGACTCCATCCTAACAAAAACTTCCATGCAATTCTTCGATTTACTTTATTTCCTTGTTGCGTGCTTTTCGGATCGGAGAGAAAGTAGATAATGATCACGATCGCTGAGCTGTTTCGAGCGGGACTGTACACGGTACACAGGCGACAGCCCTTGACTGATTTATGCTCGAAAGGAATGTCGGATCCCCCTTATCTCCTGTTCGGGCCGCAGTGTATAAAACACCAGTCGGAGAATTCAGGCCAGGTTTCCTGAGGTATCGGAAGCTCGACGTATCGCATTCGTCGTAATTCCGATTTTCAACTTTGCGTTAACTTGATCGTAAATCAGCATTAAGAAAGAGAAAGATATAAGGAGCGAGCGAGCGAGCGAGAGAGAGGGGAAGAGAAAGAGAGAGAGAGAGAGAGAGAGAGAGAAGCACGCGCTCCCAGACTGTCTGCGGGAAAAGAGGGACACAAAGAGAGGAATGCAGTCTGGCGAGGTGAGCGCGAGAAAACTCGCAGTCGCGGCGAACGCGTCGCGGAATTTCGGCGAAAGTATACCGGGTGTCCTCGGGCACGCGCACGCGTCGCGAAACCGGAAACCTCGCGATATATGCGTGAGAGAGAAAGTTGCAGATCTTCGATTTCGGAAAACGCGAGACCCTCGAGGTGCACGCGATCATTGCGCGCGTAGTAGAGTCCTTGACACATGTGCAAACTCCGACTGTCTCGATGGTTGCGAATGTAATGTTGTGTGAAAAAGCCAGATCATGCTCGCGAGTAAATCTTTCGAGACAGAAGCCAGTTCCTCGCGCGAATGCGATCGCGAATTTCGAGCTTCGCGCGCCTTCGATTCGCAATCTTGGAATCTCGAGGATCTCTCTCCCTCCCTTCCTTCCTTCCATTTTGCCGGTCGACTCGTTGAATAAATAGGCGCGAGACCGTCTCGATGGTTCGGGCGAGTGAACGAACACGTAGGTATGCGCCTCTCTCGTCGTCGCTTCGCGGCGGCCACGCGCGCTCTTCGGCGCCGTTTGATTTACGACGGCCGTAAATAGTATCGCGAGTGGCTTTTTCCTGCCTCGCAATAACATTTAGAACGGCATTGCTCGCTCTCGCTCGAGATCGGCTCGTTATCCTCTCGTCAGCTGGCGGCGGTTACGATTGAGCAATCGCCGGCACTTTCGAGGAGCGATCCTTGCGAGATACGATAAGTGGTATCGAGGAATTAAAGACGCGTACCGAACGGAATCGCGCAGGTTCCGCTTGGACGGCGGGCGGGCGTAAGGTCCCGCGAGAGTTCTCTTATTTTGTCACGTCGTTATTCCGACTGAAAAGCGATGCTCTTCGCTTCCTGTTCTCTGTCTTTTTCTGGCTTGAGGTTTGAGTCAGAAGGAAATAACGAGAGAGAAACAGGAAGCAAAGAACACGTTGTAGGTCAAGCTTTAACACAACTTTATGCAATTAAATAAACAGAAAAACTTTTCCGAGTTTTCAAGTCACTCACGAAATTAATCCTTTTGCCACTTTTAATAACAGTTTTATTCAATTGAGTACACAGCTCTTTTGGCAGTCAGAACAGCTCTATTTATTGAACAATTATGGAACAATTATGCCCTTCCAAAGACCGTAGTGAAACAGCAATGTCCCTATCCTTTTGACGCTAAATATCAAACTTTCAATTTTCTTGCTAAAACTACGTTATATTTCTCCGTTTGCCTCGGAGCGATCGAGAGCCTCTATCGCCAACAGCTGTAGGCGTCTCGGCTCTTGCCAGACACAAAGAGGCGATTCGAAGACGTCGTCTCTCTCACACACGAGTGCATAAAGTCGCACTCACGCCATCGGCGGTGACCTTAATCCTTTCACGAGTAATGGCTCGTAGAGGAGTGTGACGAGACGCGCGCGCGTGTGTGTGTGTGTGTGTGTGTGTGTGTGTATCTATGTAAAAATTATAAATCACGAAATGTATTTAATATCGGGAAGGAACTCGTGTAAAATGATTAAGAGCTCCTCAAGTGTGAGACGGGCTTCGAGACAGATGAGAGAGTTCTCGTCGTTGGATTAATATTTCGTGCGATTTTTACGACGCGCTCGCTTCACCGACGTCTTGGGAGCCGGTCGTCGCCGGTCTGAGAGAAATATCATTAGTCGTTGGGCGTGAATATTTGTGAAATAAACGCAAAAGCGAATGGGGAAATCCCGCCGGTACGTATATAAGTACTATACGTAACGTCTCAAACAAAGGCGCCTTGTGCACGACGTGAAGTAGGAACGTGTTTCTACGCGCACGTTTCACCGGTTATGCGTGCATAAAGGAGGCCAGCTTTGGTGGAGTGATACTGCGGTGGGAACTCCTGGACGTGTCGTGGACGTCGCGCGACTCCTCAGGGCTCTCAACTCTTTCGCTACCAATATTGTTTCACAAAGGTGCAATTTCTTTTTGAACTTCTCAGTGGACTTTGGCTTTATTAAATACACTAATATTCGTACGGAAATTTTTTAGTATTTTCAAAATAAGTTTAATAAGTAGAGCTGATATATTTTAATGTACCGAAAGACCTGTTTATTCAAATGAATAAGATTGTTATTAGAGACGGCGAAAGGGTTAATTGAGTGAACTCGATATTTTCGATGTTTTTTGGAATTGAAATTGGAAAAGTTATTTCATCGCGTCGTTATTTCAGCGGGAAACTGGAATTGTATAACCACGTTTACCTCGATCGATCTTCAGCATCGAGTAATGAAATTTTCCTCAATTTCTCCATGATATACTGAATTTACGGCGACGAAGGAAATCGGAGCGCGCGGATTATCGCGGTAGGTGATATCTCCGTTCGCCTCGGTGGGAATCCTCGCGCCGCGAATGAGGAAAAAGAAAAAGAACTGCATTGATCCATCACGCCGTGTGTCGTTTCATTTATATCCTATCCTCATTTTAAGCTCCAAAGATAAAATCAAATCTCCTCGCTGTCTAATTGAGAAATCACGTGACTAATTCCAAAACATGTTATTACGACTCGGTGAGGCGACTCAATATCGTCGAAGATATAAATATGTCAGGTCAGCTCTCTTATCATCGAAAGAAATAACTGTCTTACAAGATTACGTATATTTTTGTAACGTTTCGGAATACTCTCGCGTCGTTTTGTGCACGTGAAAAGAAAGAATTCTTCTATCTCGTCGATTTCTCCGATCACGCGGGCCGAGAAGGTCGGGTGAATTATTTGAAATCAATTCGACAAGGTTCGCTCTTGGGGTACAGTGGGTGAGTCAAGAGGCTCGCGCGGATGACTAATTGAAATTCCTCCAAAATATCGGTGATACAATCGCACGCTTACGAAGGACGAAACGTGCGGAATCTATTTCCTCTCTCTTCCTTTTGCGAGCGAGTGAGCGAGCGAGCGAGCGATGAAATTAATTGCTAGTGATTGCGCGATATCGCAGAAAAATTTCGGCGAATGTATAGACGACGTCGCGGCTGAGAATAGCGAGTCGATATATTTACATCCGGCGTTTCCGCGCCGTGTCCTCGCGCGATTCAATCGCGCCGACTGATAACGGCAAATCGCGATAAAGTGGAGTTATTATCGTCGAGTTATTATTGCCACTTTGAGAAGCGCGCGACATAGACGTGTAATGCACAGAAATACTTTTGCGGGATAAATCGGAGAAATGAATCCGAGCTGATTCTGAAAGATTGGCGTGTATTCTGTAATCACGACACAAGAACAAGTGTCCCTGGAATTTTTTGGAGCTTGTAGCCTCTCTTGAGAAAAGTCACGCACATAGAGCTCTTCAATCAAGTGAGTAGAGATAAAACGGCCGAGAGATAAGAGCCTCCGCACAAATGTACTTAGGGTAATCAGCAATCAGAAGCGACTCAACCTGACATTGTGTGTCTCTGTTGACGTCAAGCCTGTATTTATTATTAATCAGCAATATTTATTATTATGAAATAATATTATTATTAAATATTTATTATTATGGGATAAAGATAAATAAATAAATAAATATATGTATATTGATTTCTTCAAGTAACACAATAGTTTCAACTATTTGTTATTAAATTATACTGATATATCCATGTAGAGGCTCCTACACACTGATAGAAAAAAATATCTAAGAAATAGTGAATATTTAATTCGGTGAGTATTAATGACATATTTACTTATACTAATGTGTAAAATATTTTTCAAGAAAAAATTATTTTTTTGGAACCTTGAGAAAACCTTAATTTCTCATCAAAGTAAGCTTTTGTCCTATTTAAAGAAACGAATTTAGATTTAAGAGAGTAAATATGTTATTAGTATCTACTAAATAAATATTCACTACTTTTTAGATACACTTTTTTCTCATTGTAGGTCTTTTCTTTATCGGTATCACATATCTTTGTTGGATATATAGATTTTATCTTTGTTAATAATATTAGATTGGATACCGAGAGACAGAGTCTTTTCCCATTTAACAAATGATTAGAGAGAGATAGAGGAGGGAGAGATAGATTCCGACGCGGAAATCGCAATGGCACGACGTTACGTCTCGCTACGTATGAGTCATCCTAATTTATTCATCACGAGAACTCCCGGCGCACGTAACGAGATTTTCTCTCGTTACGAGAGAACACACGTCTACATTCTGTCTCGATTTGAATCGTTCGCGAGGATCCACCCGCGAAGATCTCCGTTTCCACGGGCGATTCGCGAAACGCACGGAGATCGTCGAAGAGCATCGATTGAAATCGCGGGCACGCCGAAGTCGGCAGTCATCACAACAATCAACAACGATTAGTCATCACGCGGAGAGGACCTGACCCAGTCTCGTTCGCTCGCTCGCTTGCGAGGCGCGTGCACGTGCACGCGGCGCGTGTCGGGGCAGTTTGATCCTCCGACCGACACGACGAAGAGATCGATACGTCGGGTGTGACATCGTCTGTCGTTTTAGCACGATGATGTCACACGTCTCGTCCGCCAATGTAACGGATCGTGACGTGGCGCCGAGAGTCGCACGGCTAGATATTACGAGGCGTGAATCTCGCCTGCGACCCGAACGCGCGCGCGGTGACGCATAAAGTACACATCGCGTCACGCCGCGTCGCGCCGCGTCGTCGTGTGTGACGTTGTGATTACGACGTAAACTGTGCACCGACGACAGCGGTGCTCAAAGAGGCTTGAGCAAGGAGCAACGAGGTGAGAAAAGGACACTGGTAAGGGCGCGAATTTAACCGCTTGCGAACCGCTGAGAATGAGTGAGTGAGTCTCTCGGAGAGAACTTACGGATTTCAGGAACGCGCCTCTGCCCTTATACATGGCGCCGTGATGCGACTTGCTTCCATGCTTGTGCAGCATGTTCAATCCCCTGTCGACGCTCATTCATGAATCGGTCGTAACTTTCAGGAGAGCAGCCGAGACACACTCGGGTAAGTTCGTGACGGCGACAACACTCGACTCGCGATTGCTCACGTTCGCTCTCGTCGAGTTTCAATGGGTTTACTTGGGTCTTCCGTACTCTCATTCACTGTCACGGTCTACTTAAACGGCCGCTCTTTCCTGGGAATTGAAATGGAACACGTTGTAAAGATGGAACAATGACGCGGAATAAAGTCCCATGAATTACGGAGAAACACACAACGAGGTGCGCGAAGAGTGGGCGCGAGACACGTTTCCTACGACGACGAGATTAATACTGAACGATCTTCCGTCGAGATATCACCGCGATGTAATTTATTGACACAGAGTGGAACGAGCGGCGATAAGGTGTCTTATAGTTCATCTTATCGATCTAACCTCCCCGATGTACACTCGATCCACCGTAATTTCACGCCGGAGTTTCTCAGATGAAAGAAAAAAGGAAAAGAAAAAGAAAATAAACCGTCCGGTATATCTCAACAGCGATACCGATGGTGTTCTATCAGCCCGGGAAATACTAGTGCGTAATTGCCGATAAGAACGATTATCGCCACTGAGTTTCGGTGTCCCGATCGAACATATGCGATTTCTCGCATTCGTCTTAGAGTACGCGACGGAAGGTAACAGGTGTAACAGGAGGCATTGCCCCGCTTACACAGATCTCGCGTAAACAATTTTCTCAAAAGAAATCCGACACGACGAAAGAAAGATGGATAGATAGAAAGAGAGAGAGGAAGAGACAGGGAGAGACAAAAAAGATAGGAAGAGACAGGGAGAGATAGGAAAAGACGGGGGAGGCAGAGAAGAGAGAGAGAGGGTCGACGCGCTTCGCGATGAGCAAAACTATCGTGTCGATCGGTTCGATGTTCGAATTTTGGCGCAACAACAACCCGGTGCGAACAGCTGTTCAAATAACGCAGTCTGCTCACGCACGAGGAATTCCTGCAATGTGAGCGAACGTACGTGGCAGACGTTCTCTCAAGTGACTCGGAGAATTTGATCTATCGAATTTGATCATTCGGCCATTCGCGATGATCCGTCGCGACTCGTTTTACATTATAATATATATTCTATCTAAGAATCTATCTAAGAATCTATATCTAAGAAAAAAATATATATGCGTGTATATAATAAAAAGATTAAAATACAATGTGAAAAATTGTTCAGTTGCTACGAATGTCCAGGGGCTTGGCGCAGTGGACGCGACGGAAATCGAGACGTCCGCTTTATTTCTGCGAGGAAGTCACGTATTAACAATCGGCGCCGTAAGCGAGACACGTGCGCGTCGCGGGCGCGTTTTCCTTCACGGATCTCGGGAAATTTCTGTCTGTTTTTTTCCTTCCCAGCGACAATGAGACGCCAAGTTTTGCATGATTATCGCGGCACGCGAGGCAGCGTGTCCCAACGGAGTGACTCAGCGTTATTACGACAATTTTGCGACGGATATTACTGTTATCGGCGTTAATTAATATTAATTAATATTATTCAATTCTGATTAATCCCTGCCACGGTAGAATTCGTCTCTTTGATCCACTATTTATCTTTAAAGCGCGCCGCGCGACTTGAAACTTCACGGTCCTAAAGCCGACGCGACAAGTTAATCTACACTTCTTGCCTCGGTAGAACGCTCCGGTGAAAAAGCAACGTCGTTCACTGCGCGAGCTCGCGCGATCCGGCGCGATTTCACCGATATCGAATGAACGACGCAGCCCGATGATTCACGTCCGCTGTCAACGGAGTCGGCGCGTCTACTGACGATTACGACCTTACAGTGATGACGAGGAAGACAAGCCATCGTGACGGCGGCAACAGTGGAGGTGGAGATAAAGACAGAGGTGGTGGTCGGGTATCAGCTGTGGTCTTTACGAACTGGAGGAAGAGAAGATAACTGAGGTATTCGGAAGGAAGGAAAGAGAGAGGGAGAGAGGGAGGGTCAGCTGGTGACGCGAGCTGTCATCTGAGACGGAAGTAGTGACAAATTCCACAGATATTTGTGAGAGAGGGGCACCACATTAATCTCATATTGACAAAGTGACAAAATTTTTGACCAGCAGAACAGTCATCGTCATAAATTAGAATAGTTCAAAAACAGTCTACTATGCTACACCGAAAAAAAATATTTTTCAATAAATATATTTCTTCAAAAAATTTATTTCTTGGCTTTTTGTAAAAGCAATCGTTTATTCTACTCGAAAAAATTAGGTTTAAGTAAATATGTTATTAGGTGAAAACACCACTTTTTTATTTTTTATTCTTTCATTTTGTTCTTTAGATATTTTTTGTCTCAGTGTACCTGGAGGAAACTTGCGTGAAAAATTCAGATTATAAGACGAATTTGATGTATAAGTCAGTCTTTAATGTAAGACAGACAGATGTACGTAAATTTGACAGTAACTTTATTAGTCGATTTTGTAAAGATCGCATTTATGGTATTATTTATTTATTTTTACGCGTATTTATTATATGGAATAACGAAATAGAAACACGAAAGAGGTATGAAAAAAAAGATAAAAATTTGCTCAAAATAACAGATCGTGCAAAATGGTAATATGAAAATCTGAGAGTAACCTTGAGCATATTTCTTGCTGCATCGATAACAAAACAGGATTTGCATCATTGTACAATTTAGATTCAATGATTAATTCGATTGTATATTTGCCTCATAAATGTAATTAAAATAACCGCCAAGTTTCCATCATCGACCTTCTCACGTCGTGACAATCGTGGAAGACTATCTGGCAAGAATCTCGCTGGCTCGGGTTCCGAAAAAATCAATGAGACCATTGTTGCGATCGCGTCATCGCGCTGGCATCTCGACGGAATCGTAAATCTTCCCGAATAGACACCGCTGAATGGAGGGGTGGGCCTTCTAATAGCAGGTAATAGGCGCGGGTAACAGGTCTGTGTTTTGAGAATCATACGTGCGGATGATTCAGTCGCGCACGTGCAGGTAAAGTGGGGCGATGTATTCTCGAGTGAGACAGAGAAGTACATTTGATGTGTAAATACCGACAATCGCGCAGCTGCTTCGTCGAAGAAGCTTCCTGAGTACCACCGCTTCTCAGAGTCGCGATTCAGATCTAACAAGACTAAAAAATGAGCTTAGTACATCTCTCTCTCTCTCTCTCTCTCTTGGGGACACAAGTATTTCTTCTGACGAATACCATCTCGCTCATTCACTCGTACGGAATGTCTGGCGCTTTGAACGCTTTCCCGAATTTACTTTCGACTCCATTTCATTATTTTCATTTCACTAAACTCGACTGATGATTTTGCAAGTTTTACTTACGCTCGTAATTTTTGTAAATACGTTATTAGTACTCACCAAAAAAAAATATTTCTTATTTTTTTTAATTTTATTTTATATTCTTCCATTTTGTTTTTCAAATACTTTTTATCTCGGTCTGACTCGGAGAAAATTTGCGTGAAAAATTTACGGGCATGTTTCTCGCGAATTTATCGAGGCGGCTTTCGCGATTCCTGACACGGCATCGCTAAACGCGAGCAGCCGGCGATTCGTTAATCATGCGATACTCGGAATTGTGCGCGCGGAATCAACATGTCATCTGTTTGCGCATTTACGTGTCGCCGTCGGGCGACGTAATCGATACGCACCGATACATAGCGGGACGTAACATCTCACCATATAAAGCGTCATCATCGGCGCGATCGTTTCCTCTTATTAGCCGGTGCTACCACAACGAGTAGCCACTGGTCCATTCATTCGACGATGATGTAATCGTGACCGTGCGTCCACGTGAGTCGCGCCGCTGAATTGGACGGAGCACAGCTCGCGAAAGCGGGGACGTACGATGTAACGAGGTGCATCATCATCGGTGATGCAACCGCGCGCTACGACTGTCATTCACGCGTGCAAACGTCGCGTTGGAAATTTCGGGAATGTAGTGGCTAGTCGGCTACGGGGCTAAGTTGGCAGAATCGATCATTCTTACATCTCAAGATCAAGCAAGCAGCGATTTCAAAGACACACGGAAAAAAAAAATTTGGTTGAATTGACTAAATATCTGGTCGAATATCTGAACGATCCAGAAATTCTGATTGAAGTAACCCGAATTCTGTTTAAGTCAATAAAAAATCTTGTTAACTTAAACAGAATTCGGGTTACTTCAATCGGAATTTTTGGATCGTTCATATTCGACTAGATATTTGGTTAATTCAACCAAACCTTTTTTTCCGTGCATCATTGACATTTAAAATCTCGCTTGCTTCATTCTGTAACTTGTTAAAAAACAGTAGAAATAGTCGGTTTTGCCAACTAGTTCCAGTCTCCGCTGCGTGGAAAGAGTGCGAACAAGTTTGGCTCTACATTTCGCGTCATTCGAAATCTTATGTTTTGGTAAAATTGTATGATGATACTTGTATATCCCCATTAATTTACCCATTTAATAGCTACAATTTTATGAAAAAAAAAAAAATAATTTAATTTAATAATTTTTTTCTCTTCTTCTTGCAAGATTTATTTGGTCCTAATTTGTGTTATCGTAAGTTTACTCAGTAAATATCAACTGTCAGCAACATAAAATATCAATGCACTAATTTTCTGTTCCATTATGCAAATGCAATATAGCGCGAGTGTTGTGTTACGCATCGTCGAGTGGCAAGTTGTAACATTGATGTTACAATTGTGAATGGCTGCGTTCAGAAAACAGCTGATCAGTGAGCGGTCAGTGATTATTGGTCCTTATTGTTAGATCTCTAACTTTAGATCAATTACGTTGATTAATTATTCAACCGTTGTGTAACCGTTGTGTCTCCTGAACGCACTCAATGTCACTGGCAGCTGGTATTCACTGGGCAACGATCATGGATCTGATCGCGACGATTGCACTCGAAGTACGAGTACGAGACCGTGCGTTCATTCAGAACGCAACGAAGCTGAAGCCCTGAACTTGGACTCGAGGGAAGGACGACTAAAGTGTGACGACTTCCGCGGCACCGTCAAGTGACTCACTTTCGAGTCAAGGATGTCACGTTTCTTTTCGATACGACATTGGGAGGTCGTAAATCGCGCCACACTGCTCAATGAGGCGCATTGCGGCGCTTTACCGGGAAGAGCTCTGTGTCCGGCAGAATTGACGCGAAGACGCCTGAAGACGTTACGCGCGAGCGAGAGAAAGCGAAAGTGGGTTTCGCAAAAATAGAATCGACTCATCCGCGAGATAGACTCCGAACGCTCGCGACTTCCGTGAAATATTGACTTACCCTACTCTCTGCCGCGGGATCTGCCGCGTCGATTTCTTGGACCGAGGGAGAACAGCCAATATATCTCGGTAACTTGGAGAACCCGAAGTGTGAGGCGTCGTTAATATACACGTACGTTTAAAATAACCTCACAATGTTTCCAAAGTTTCCAACGATAGATTTATGGCTCCTTCCCCGAAAAATGGCACGGCGATTTTAGACGAGAGATTTGGCGAAAAATCTCCAAAACCTGACCTCAGCAGGATCAAGATAATTGAAAACTGAAGAGATTATACATTGGTTTATCTTTTCCAAGTGGAATGCGTGAAGTCCATCAGACCCTATTTTTCTGACGACTAGTTAATCATTAAATGTATGAATTTTTATTTTGAATTGAAAAAATTACAATAGCTACTAATTAGAGATTAGAAAGAAAGAAAAATGTTTGGAAAAAATTTCGGAAAAAATTAAAGCCGAATAATTATTGATTCATCGTTTGTAGCTGATTAGTTACACGATGTATTAAAGGGTTCAGAATATAAAGTCTCGATATTATTCTCGCAGTCATTTGAGAGATAAACGGTTGCAATCTCAATAAACAATTAGTATGTATAGCTGAGCTCTTATATTCCTAATTTACTCGTCCTAAGCTTCAAATCGAGGTATCATTTACTAGAATTCTAAGTTCTACAAAATCCTATAGGAAAGGGGGCGAAACTTGGTCGAACTCTCTCAATTGCTATTGAAAAATCGACTTTAAGTCATGAGAACGATAACATGATCGAAACATGGCACGAAAGCGGCGAAATATCCGTCGCCATGATCGAGGAAGAGAGAGAGAGAAGAGAGAGAGAAGCAAAGTGAAAGATTAAAGAACACGAGAGATATCGACTCGATACGGCCGCTTTGGTGCTGATCGCTCCGAATGTTTCGCATAGCATCCGGTGCGTCGAACTTCTCCTCTATCCTGTCTTGCACCGATCTTCAGATCGGTGCAAGCAGGCCTGCTCTATTAGGATGCCAGGCATAACTCGGGACGTTCTGTGCAGCAGGGACGTACCTGGTTTTCCTTTTTCCATCGGTCTCGAGGCGTTTACCGCCCCGAGAATTTCCATTCTCGGCCGGACAATTATCTACGATTCACCCGCCGTGCATGAATTGTGTGCGCGTCCGTAACGAAAATGGATTTTACTTTCTTCGCGGCGAACAGAGAATAGATGTAAATAGTTCTCGCAGAATTTCTTAATAAATTATCCTTATGATTCCGCCTGTGCGTGCGGAAATCTTGATACCTTACTGAAAAAGGCGATAATCTACACGGAGTGAGAAATTTGTAGTAAAATTCTGTAACCAAGGAATGAAGATCGGCATTCCGCGG